ACCCCAAAATTTCAAAAGAAAAACCGAGATATCGAAAAACTCGAAGAAGAATCGAAAATATGAAAATGGAAAAATAGAGCAATCGCGAAATTGAAAAGTCAAGAAACATCGAAAAATTGAGCAATTGAGAAATGGGAAATCAAAATATCAAAAAATCGAAAAATCTAATAGTCAAAAGATCGAAAAGTCGAAAAATCGTAAAGTCGAAAAATAAATTGATTGAAAAATCGAAAATTTAGAAACACCAAAAAACAGGAATATTAAAAAATCGAAAAATTTAAAAATCGCAAAATTGAAGATTCCAAAATTAAAAAATCTTGAAACTGGAATATCGAAAAATTTTAAAATCGAAGAAAAATTGAAGAATAGAAAACTGAAAAATCTCAAGTGGGACATCGCAAAACTGAGATAGAGCAAAATTAAAAAATTGAAAAATCGAGAAATCTAAAAATCGAAACATCGAAATCTGGATAATTCGAAAAATCGAAAAATGATAAAACTACAAAAATTGAAAAATGATAAAACTGCAAAAATTGAAAAATTTAAAAAGCAAAAAATTAAAACATCGAAAAACCGAAATATCAAAATACCAAAAATCGACCAATCTAAAACTTAAGAAACCAAAAAATTAAAACATCGAAAAACCAAAAAATCAAAAAACGAGAATTCGAAGAAATTAACGTAACAAAAAATTGAAGTATCATAATAATTGAAAAATCCCATAATTCGATCTCCAAAAATTGATTAATCCATAAATCGAAAAATTGAAAAATCGCAAAAATTGCAAAAAAAAAACGAGATATCGAAAAAATGCAAAATCGAGAAATCGAAAAGTCGAAGAAGAATAAAAAATATGAAAATGGAAAAATCGAGAAATCGCGAAATTGTAAAGCCGAAACGCTGAAACATGGAAAAAATGAGCAAGAAAGAAATGGGAAAATCAAAATATCCGAAAAGTCGAAAAATCGTAAAGCCGAAAAATCAATTGATTGAAAAATCGAAAATTTAGAAACATCAAAAACAGGAATATTAAAAAATCGAAAGATTTAAAAATCACAAAATTGAAGATTCCAAAATTAAAAAATCCTAAAACTCGAATAAGTATCGAAAAATTTTAAAATCGAAGAAAAATTGAAGAACAGAAAAGTGAAAAATCTCAAAAGTGGGACATCGAAAAACTGAGATAGGGCCAAATTAAAAAATTGAAAAATCAAAAAATCTAAAAATCGAAACATCGAAATCTGGATAATTCGAAAAATCGAATAATGATAAAACTGAAAAATTGAAAAATTTAAAAACCAAAAAATTAAAACATTGAAAAACCGAAACATCAAAATACGAAAAATCGAACAGAAAAATTTAAGAAACCAAAAACCGAAAAAACAAAAAACGAGAAATAAAGAAATCGAAGAAATTAACATAACAAAAAATTGAAGAATCATAATAATTGAAAAATCTCAAAATTCGAAATCCAAAAATTGATCAATCCATAAATCGAAATGAAAAATCGCAAAATTACAAAAGAAAAACTGAGATATCGAAAAACTGCAAAAATGGGAAATTGAAAATTCGAAGAAGAATCGAAAATATGAAAATGGAAAAATCTAGAAATCGCGAAATTGAAAAGCCGAGACGCTGAAACATCGAAAAATTGAGCAAAATAGAAATGGGAAAATCAAAATATCCAAAAATCGAAAAATCTAAGAGTCAAAAGGTCGAAAAGTCGAAAAATCGTAAAGCCGAAAATCAATTAATTGAAAAATCGAAAATTTAGAAACACCAAAAACAGGAATATTAAAAATTCGAAAAATTTAAAAATCGCAAAATTGAAGATTCCAAAATTAAAAAATCCTAAAACTCAAATATCGAAAAATTTTAAAATCGAAGAAAAACTGAAGAATAGAAAACTGAAAAATCTCAAAAGTGGGACATCGAAAAACTGAGTTTGGGCAAAATTAAAGAATTGAAAAATCGAAAAATTTAAAAATCGTAACATCGAAATCTGGATAATTAGAAAAATCGAAAAATGATAAAACTAAAAAATTTAAAAATTTAAAAACCAAAAAATTAAAACATCGAAAAACCGTAATATCAAAATACGAAAAATAGAACAATCTAAAATTTAAGAAACCAAAAAATGAAACAGCAAAAACTGAAAAAACAAAAAACGAGAAATGGAGAAATCGAAGAAATTAACATAACAAAAAATTTAAGAACCATAATAATTGAAAAATCAAAAAATTCGATCTCCGAAAATTGATCAATCCATAAATCGAAAAATTGAAAAATCCCAAAATTGCAAAAGAAACACCTAAATATCGAAAAATTGCAAAATCGAAGAAGAATCGAAAATATGAAATGGTAAAATCGAGAAATCGCGAAATTGAAACGCCGAGACGCTGGAAGATCGAAAAATTAAATTGAGCAATAGAGAAATGGGAAAATCAAAATACCCAAAAATCGAAAAATCTAATAGTCGAAAAGTCGAAAAAGTGAAAAATCAATTGATTGAAAATTCAAAAATTTTGAAAACACCAAAAACAGGAATATTAAAAAATCGAAAAATTTAATAATCGCAAAATTGAAAATTCCAGAATTTTAAAATCCTAAAACGCGAATATCGAAAATTTTTAAAATCTAGGAAAAATTGAAGAATAGAAAACTGACAAATCTCAAAAGTGGGACATCGAAAAACTGAGATAGGGCAAAATTTAAAAATTGAAAAATCGAGAAATCTAAAAACCGAAACATTGAAATCTGGATAATTCGAAAAATCAAAAAATGATAAAACTGAAAAATTGATAAATTTGAAAACCAAAAAATTAAAACATCGAAAAACCGAAATCAAAATACGAAAAATCGAACAATATAAAATTTAAGAAACCAAAAAATGAAACATCAAAATTCGAAAAAACAGAAAACGAGAAATCGAAAAAATTAACTTAACAACAAATTGAAGAATCATAATAATTAAAAAATCCAAAAATTCGATCTCCAAAATTTGATCAACCCATAAATCGAAAAATTGAAAAATCCCAAAATTGCAAAAGAAAAACTGAGATATCGAAAAACTGCAAAATCGAGAAATCGAAAAGTCGAAGAAGAATCGAAAATATGAAAATGGAAAAATCGAGAAATCGCGAAATTAAGAAGCCGAGACGCTGAAACATCGAAAAATTGAGCAAGAGAGAAATGGAAAAATCAAAATATCCAAAAATCGAAAAATCTAATAGTCAAAAGGTCGAAAAGTCGAAAAATCGTAAAGCTGAAAAATCAATTGATTGAGAAATCGAAAATTTACAAACGCCAAATCGCAAAATTGAAGATTCCAAAATTAAAAAATCCTGAACTCGAATATCGAAAAATTTTAAAATCGAAGAAAAATTGAAGAATAGAAAACTAAATAATCTCAAAAGTGGGACATCGACAAACTGAGATAGGGTAAAATTAAAAAATTGAGAAATCGAAAAATCTAAAAATCGAAACATTGAAATGTGGATAATTCGAAAAATCGGAAAAATGATAAAACTGAAAAATTTAAAAACCACAAAATTAAAACATCGAATACCGAAATATCAAAATACGAAAAATCGAACAATCTAAAATTTGAGAAACCAAAAAATGAAACATCAAAAACCGTAAAAACAAAAAACAAGAAATTGAATAAATTAACATAACAAAAAATTGAAGAATCATAATAATTGAAAAATCCCAAAATTCGATCTCCAAAAATTGATCAATCCATAAATTGAAAAATTAAAAAATCCTAATACCCGAATATCGAAAAATTTTAAAATCGCAGAAAAATTGAAGAATAGAAAAATGAAAAATATCAAAAGTGGGACATCGAAAAATTGAGATAGGGGAAAATCTAGAAACCGAAAAGTCGAGAAACTGTCGAAAATATGAAAATCGAGAAACTGAGAGACATCGAAATTCAAAATATCGAAAAATCAAAACATCTAATAGTCGAAAAGTCGAGAAGTTGAAAAATCGAGAAATGAAAACTCGAAAAATCAAAAAATCGATTGAAAACACCAAACACTGGAATATGAAACAATCGAATAATTTAAAAATGGAGGAATTGAAGAATCGAAAAATTGAAAAATCGGAAAATAGAGAGAAAAAAATAATCGATAAATGAAAAATTGGAAAAATCGAGAAATTTAATAATCAAAAAATTGAAAAATCCCAAGACCCAGAAACTGATCAATCGACGAATCAAAAAATTGATCGAAAGTTGTACATTTTGACTAAAAAGTCACCATGCTTACAATAACTTCAAAACGTGTGCAAGATTTCAAAGCATTCGGTTTTGTAGATTCAAAATTAAATTGCAAAATGTTTTATAATTTTGATTTTTTTATGTCACTGTGTCGCTAATCTAGGCAGTGATGCCAATTGAAAGAAACTGACATAACTAACTGTTTACTAACTTAAATTTATTTAAATTTAAAGGGTTCCAACTGGAATACAAGTTTTTTCCCTGGGAAATAAACTCTATGACGCCATTTTTCAAAACACGATGTGTAGGGTCCCACTTTTGTGGACGATCATAGTTCAAGCCCAAATTGTTAAATTTTCGCGGATTTTTAAAAATTTTGTTCACATGTCAATTTTTGGCGGGAAGTTTGGGTTACCACGTTTCCTTCAAGAAAACCGTGTCGTGGTTGTACTTAGGTACATTGGAAAATTGAGATGCAACTATAGGAATATGACGTCCACTAAGATACTGTCAAAGTGTGTCAAATCAACTGAAATTAGGTACAGGGGTACAAAAAGTTGTGCTCTTATTATTTAAAATTGTTTTTGCTTCATTTGTTTTCGAGATGTAAGGCCAACTTAATTTTTTTTAAGTGACACTACCATATAATTAATGCAAAATATTGATTATTTTTGTCAAAATACCTAAACACTGGTATAAACTATCATTTTTGTATTCAACAAATTGCCAAAACCACTGCCAAAACTTGCACATAAAACATCAATTAAAAAGAGTATTTATAAAAGTAACGAATTTATTGTTATAGCATTAATCTGTCCCAAATAATTTGTATCTCAGTTATTATGAAGAAACGTGATGAAAATGGTGACTTGAACAGCAGTGTCCATTGTGTGAATTAAGTTTCCTATTATCTGCGTTATTTGTAACGGGAGTTTGTAGTCGAATATTAACTTTGCTTAAAATTTCATAAGGAAGAGTTTCTTCGTGGTGATCTACAGGAGAAGATTCATCAACCACATAACTGCAACAAATAATTTTAGTTGACAAAATTTTTAGTTAATAAGACTTACTTCAATGCTCTGAAGAACTTTGAATAATGATTATTTTTCAGAATGGTCAATACAACCTTCTTCATATTATTTTTAAATGCCACTAATTCGAGAATTTGCATCATAAATTTACCTAAACCCTTTCTCTGTACTGCTGGTTCCAATTGCAGCTCGTAGCTAGAATTTAATTAAATGTGACAAACACTAGGTTGGTGTAATTTTAATCATACCAGTAAAGTACTTCAAGCCCTTCATCAATATCAAAGCGAAAATGAGAAAAACCCAATAACGTTTTATCCGCGCTTTGTGCTACCAAATACCAAGCTGCCTCATCAAATAACTCTTCCATTTTTTTAGCATCGTTCCAACCCCATGAACATTGTTCATACCTATAACAATAATAAGATATTTAATTAACTTATAAAAAATAAAAATAACTTGGTACCTACTTAATTTGCATATTCCTCTTGGTTAAGCTAAAAATCCACGATTTTGTCAATTCTTCTAAATCTGTCGCCCTTTTCATATACAATTCTGCCTCTAAACCATTTTTGTCATATTTCCTAAACACAGGAAACGGTTCTAAAGGGTCTGTTAATTTATTCGCTTTATCAACGACAGTCATGGCTAGTAAAATTCTCTGCTGCTCTTCTTTGCGTTTCAGACGCTTTTCTTTGCCTTTTGTTGAGCTTTTTCGCTGTAACACAAAAACTTGCATTAAAACTGAAACACAAAAGCTTTAATACTAACACCCATCGTAATTCCGGCGACAATCGCTAAAAAAATCTTTTAATTTAACCGCTGTGTGTTTATTTTGATACTTGTTAATGTTGGTAATCACAATTGCGGATCATAACCTTAAATTGAGAATGATTTACGTACAAGGTCATTTGGTTGTTGACAAGGTTGAGAAAGCGGGCTTCGGATGCGCAATGTTGCCACACCCACAGTGGTCCTTCAGTTAAAAAAAAAAAACAACCCTATAGAACCTTATTTCTGTATTTCCAGGTACTTTTTTTTTATTATTATAATAACAGTTATCTTCAATTGTGCGCCATAAAAAAAATTGTAAAATGACAAACTTTGACTAACGATTTACCATGTTTCAAATATCTTAAAATATTTGCATGATTTCACAGCATTCGGATTTTGCAATTTAAAAGTTAAACTGTAAAATATTGTTATGTAATGTTGATTTTTTTTCCAAAAATTTGGATGCCAAGAATAAAAACTCAACACGGATTCATAAATCACAGATGTAGGAATGTCATTTTATAAAATCTAAAGAACATTGCGGAGCTTAACTGCAAAATCCTTGTTTATCTACGAGAAATTAAAAAAAATAATGTTAGTATCATGCTGTTCAAAGAATATTATGTACATTAAGAAAAAAAAAAAAGCCAAAGATTAGGCCCCACCCATACCTGCCCTGATCTAAATGGTAATGAAATTTTCATTCGTTGTCATATCGAGGGGCGGAACCTAATTCCAAAATCCATATTTCCTTACAAAAATGTACCATTTGAACCATGTTCTAAATTTCTTGATGTGCACACATGGCTACGTATATTAAGAAAAAAAGGCAAAATATAAGCCCCGCCCACCCACCTTATATTCGTCGTAAGCCGAGGGGTGGAACTTAATTGTAAAATACTTATTTTTCTACGAGAAATTACCATGTGAAATATGTTCTTAGGTAATCGTGTTATGCAAAGAAAACTATAAATGTATTAATTATGTATAAAAGAGAAGCCTCACCCATCCGTCTCGATTTCAGTCGTGATGAATTTTCCATTCGTTGTCAGATCAAGGGGCGGGGTTTAATTGCAAGATCCATATTTATCTACAAGAATTTACCATTTTAAACATGTTTTAAGTTTCTTGTTCTGAAAAGACGACTACGTATATTAAGAAAAAAAGCAAAATATAAGCCCCGCCCACCCGCCCTATCTCAATTGTGATGATTTTTTTTAATCGTCGAGAGCCCATAGAGCGAAATTTAATTGCAAAATCCTTATTATTTCTCTACAAGAAATAATCATGTAAGACATGTTTTTGAGTATCGTGTTATCAAAAAATCCTACCTGGTAGAAAAAATTAAAACCAAAGATTAAGCTCCACCCACACCTGCCCTGTTCTAAATATTAATGAACTTTTCATTCGTTGGCAGACCTAGAGGCGGAGCTTAATTGCAAAATCCATATTTCCTTACAAAAATTTACCATTTTAAATGTGTTTTAAGTTTCTGAGAATAACAAAAATCATCACAAGTGAGATAGGGTGGGTGGGCGGTGTTTATATTTGGCCTTTTTTCTTAATATACATATTATTCTTCGAACAACACGATACTCGGAAACACGTTTTTAATTCCTTGTAAAGAAATAACTATTTTGTAATTAAGCTCCGCCCTGGATCACAGCGAATAAAAAAAAATCATCACAATTGAAATGGGCGGGTGGGCGGGCTTATATTTTGCCTTTTTGTTTTAATATGTGTAGACTTCTTTTAATAACATGAAACTTAAAACATGTTTAAAACGGAAAATTTGTACAAAGGAGACATCGATTTTGCAATGAGGCGCCGCCCCATAATTGCAAAATCCATAAAAAATGTACGATTTTAACCATGTTCTAAGTTTCTTGCTATGAAAAGATGGCCATATATATTAAGAAAAAAAAAAGGCAAAATATAAGGCCCGCCCACCCGCCCTGTCCCAATTCTGATGTTTTTTTTTTATTCGTCGTAAGCCGGGGGGCGGAGCAAGGTATTTCTGATTAGGTTTTGAATTTTTTAGGCGTGGAGCTTCTTATGAATTATTCTGTATTTAGGGGAACTGATTCGAATATGAGCTATTCCATGTCTATGACAACCTTACCGCCAACATTGATTAAATACATACATATGTATGTCATCATTTTTTAGGAGAGCATAAACAAAAAAATTTTGAAAAACGATTTACCAGGCTTACAATATTCTTAAAAAATTTGTAAATTTTCAAAGCATTCGGTTTTACAATTTCAAAGTTAAACTGTAAAATTTTACACAATTTTGACTCAACTTGAAAATGATGGATATGTTCCAGTGTACTTCAGGAGCGAGGGAAGTTCTGTCGAAACAACTTTCGACCAATTTTTTTTCAAGAAATTACCATGTGAAACATATTCTTAATAATCCTGTTGTTTGAAGAAAACTATATGTCTTAAGTAAAAAAGAAAACCGAATATTAAGCTCCACCCGATCTCTATTATGATGAATTTTTCATTCGTTATCAGAGCGGAAGGCGGAGCTTAATTATAAAATCGATATTTCTCTACAAAAATGTACCATGTTCAACATGTTTTAAGTATTTTGTTATGAAAAGACGAACGTACATTAAGAAAAAAAGGCAAAATGTAAGCCCCGCCCACCCGCCCTATCTCAACTGTGATGATTTTTTTATTCGTCGTGAGTCGAGGGGCGAATCCTTATTTTCCTCCAAAAAATTATCATGTGAAACAGGTTCTTAAATAATCTTGTTGTGCAAAGAAAACTATACGTATTAAGTAAAACAGAAAGCCAAAAATTAAACTCCACCTATACCCGATCTCAATTGTGATGAATTTTTCATTCGTTGTCAGACCGAGGGGCGGAGCCTAATTGCAAAATCCTTATTTCTCTATACAAATTTACCATTTTAAACATGTTTTAAGTTTCTCGCTGTGGAAAGATGACTACACATATTAAGAAAAAAAGACAAAATGTAGCCCCGCCCACCCGCCCTATCTCATTTGTGATGATTTTTTTTATTCGTCGTGAGCCAAGAAGGCGGAGCTTAACTGCAAACTCCTTGTTTCTCTACGAGAAATTAAAAACATATTTTTGAGTTTCGTGTTATTCAAAGAATACTATGTATATTAATAAGAAAATAAAGCCACGCATACCCGGCCCGATCTCAATTCTCACTTGTGATAAATCATTTCATTCGTTGTCAGATCGAGGGGCGGGGCTTAATTTCAAGATCCATTTTTGTCTACAACAATTTACCATTGTAAATATGTCTAAACTTTCTTGTTCTGAAAAGACGACCACGTATATTAAGAAAAAAAGCAAAATATAAGCCCCACCCACACGCCCTATTTCAGTTGTGATGATTTTTTTTTAATCCTCGAGAGCCCAAGAATCGGAATTTAATTGCAAAATTCATATTTCCCAACAAAAATTTACCATTTGAACACGTTTGAAGTTTCTTATTGTGTAAAGAAGAATCAGAAGATAATTGCTTGTAGAGAAATGAGAATTTTGCAAGTAAGCTCCACCCCCCCAACACACACGACGAATAAAGGGGGGGTGGGTGGGGCTTAACTGTTTTACTTATTTTTAATATACATATGTAAAACATGTAAAAAAAACATATATGTATATATTAAGAAAGAAACACAAAGACTAAGCCCTCCTTCTTCTCTCAATTGCCCTGAAGTTTTCTTTCGTTTTCAGACCGAGGGGTGGAGCATAATTAACCATTTTAAACATGTTTAAATTTCTTGTTGTGAAAAGAAGAATACGTCTATAAAGGAAAAAAAAGGCAAAATATAAGCCACACCCACCCGCCCTACCTCCATTGTGATGATTTTTTTATTCGTCGTGAGTCGGGGCGTCGGGGGGCGAAACTCAATTGCAATCCTCATTTTTCTCCAAGAAATTATAACATGAAAGATGTTGTTAAATAATTGTATTGTTCAAAGAAAACTATATATATTAATTAAAAAAGAAAACCAAAAATTAAGCCCCACCTATACCCTCCCCGATCTCAATTGTGATGATTTTTTTATTGGTTGTCAAACTGAGGGGCGGGGCATAATTGCAAAATCGATATTTCCCAAAAACATTTACCATTTTAAACATATTTTATGCTTCTTGTTGTGGAAAGAGGACTACATATTAAGAAAAAATATATATAAAATATAAGCCCCACCCACCCGCCCTATTACAATTGTAATGATTTTTTTTTATTCGTCCTGCGCCCACTAGGCGGAGCTCTATTGCAATCCCCGTTTTTCTGCAAGTAATTACCAAGTGAAACATGTTCGTGTTGTTCAAAGCAGACTGTATGTATTAAGTAAAAAAGAAAAACCAAAGAGTAAGCCCCACCCATCCGCTTCGATCTCATTTGAGATGAAATTTTCATTCGTTATCGGAGCAGGGGGCGGAGCTTAATTGCAAAATCAATATTTCACTGCAAAAATTTACCATTTTGCGTTTTACGTTTCTATTGGATTTGGTGAAATCATGATCAAAATCTTTAGAAACCTCAACTATTTAAAAAAAACCTTAAAAAATTAGGTCAAATGTTAAAAAATGCATTTAAAAAAATTGACGACAAAAATTGACTTTTTTTATTTTATAAAAAAAGCAATACAAAATTTCAACGTCAAAACTGACTTATTATTTGCTTAAAAACTTGATAAAATATCTTAAAATATTTAGATGAAAAAACAGGTAAAAAAAAACTTACTTATTCTACACGACACATAAAATTTGACGACTGGTTCGGTAGTTTCCGACATTACTAATAAAAATCCGGACAGACGGTCGACAGACAGACAGACGGAAACGTGCAACCTATTATATTGTTTCGTACTGAGTTTTGCTCTTTTTTAGAATTTTAGCAAATTTCAATTGGCAACGCTGGAAAAATTAGTTCCTTCTCTCTAATAGGTCAAATGTCACATGGGTGAGTATGCGCAAGATTAGTTAGGTTATATCCCGGTTTATAAGGCGAAGGATCAGGGAAGATTAGTTATTTTGAGTTATCTTGTCCACCGAGTATGATTGTTAGTTGTCTAATATTTTTAATCTGATTTCTTATAATTACAAAGTACGTTTCAAAATGGGTCACACTTCCGACTTGGACGTTTTCCTAAACCTCCACAAAAACCAACTACTTTCATCCGGAATTCCCGAAATTTACTGGAAAACCATTAACCAAAAAATCCAGAACCAAACCTTCAACGCCGGTGAAACTTTCCAGCTGATGCAAATATCCTACGATGAAGAAAAATCCGCGCATGAACCAGCATGGGCTCTACAAGTAAAAACCGACGTGAAACATTCCGACCCAAAACAGATTTATTTAATCGACCATACATGGACTTTTCGCGTGGGACACGCCAAAAACCAGCTGCTGGAATTCGATACATTACGAAGCCGCCTGTGCAGCATCCTCGGATTGGACGAAACGTTACCAAAAGAAGAAGTTGCGGAAAACGTTTTCGCAAATATTTGGAAGTTGTGTCGTACGTATTCAGTAGGCAATGCTGAAAATATTGAAGATCGACTGCCAGTTTGGTATGTAATGGACGAAATCGGATCAGCGGTGATTCATAGTGATGAACCCAACTGCAGAATCGTTCCGTTTTTCCACGTTAATGCTCAAATAACGTATTCTTTGCTTTTTCCAATTAGGGATATGCAAGAAGAAGAGTTCGTTTTTGTTGATTTTGCTGAAGGTGTGCAAGGGAAGTATGAAAGAGCTGCTGCATTATTACCCTGGGTTCCACAGTTATTTGAAGACGTTAATTTTAAACCGGAAATGCCTGGCCCTGATTATTATTTGAGTGGTCACATTGAGGAAACGTTACCGGAAATAGAAAACTCAAATGTAGTTTTTAAGGAAAAATATCTTGTATATGCTGAATATGACATGGTGAAGAAGTATTTAACACATGATAAATTTCAGCTGGTTGATAATGAAAACGACGCAGACATATTATGGTATACTAAACATTTTAAAGATTTTGCTGAATTAAGTAAAAGTCCGAATAAGTTTGTCAATCAATTTCCATTCGAATATGTAATCACGGTGAAAGATTTGCTTGCACTAACTTGTAGAAAATTCATAAATTTTGAAAATAACACACTAGAAGCTTTAAAATGGTTTCCAGTAACTTTCAATCTGAAAACTGAAATAGCAAATTTTGTTAGTTACTTCCAACATCGCGAATCAAAAAAACTAGATAATCACTGGATTATAAAACCATATAATCTGGCGCGGAGTTTGGATATCCACATTACAAATAATTTAAATTACATTGTGAGATTACCCGCCACTGGACCTAAAATAGCCCAAAAATACATAAACAACCCCGTACTTTTTTTTCGGCCGGAGTGCAACGGTGCCGTAAAATTCGACATCCGTTACGTTCTTTTACTGAAAAATGTAAACCCTTTGCAAGCTTACGTTTACAAAGAATTTTTTTTACGATTTGCGAACAAGCCTTTTGTGATGAAAGATTTTCATGATTTTGAAAAGCACTTCACTGTGATGAATTACGACGAAAATATCACGATGAAACATATGTTGTGTGCTGAATTTAAGAGAGAGTGGAAGGAACAGTTTCCTCGTCACGATTGGGAAAATGTGGAAAAGTCTATTAAAGATATGTTGAAAAATGTATTGAAGTGTGCTGTTAAAGAAAAACCACCTTGTGGGATTGCACATAGTCCTCAGTCAAGAGGTTTATATGCAGCTGATTTGATGTTGGAATGGGATGAGGGTGAGAAAATCCAACCAAAACTACTGGAAATTAATTGGATTCCTGATTGTAAAAGGGCGTGTGAATATTATCCCGATTTTTTTAATGATATATTCGCGTTGTTCTTTTTGAACGAATCCAGTGACAATATTGCGGAATTGTAACAAGAAAGGTACTAATTCAGTTTATTTTGGCTTATGCTTTCAAGACATGTATGATAATTTATATTACAATTATATACTGCATAATATTGTTTTAAATACATTTTCCATATTCGCCATTTTCATCTATAATCACAAAGACCTGACCCAAGTCATCATAACTGTAAGTTCTTTTGAGGAATGTGTCTACCAATTTAATACCAGAAAGGGTGTGTAAACCTGGAATCAACGGCATCGCTTTAAATTCTATAATTCTTGTACAATGTGGCGTTAACGATTCCAATTTTTGTCCAGAAATTCCACACCAAACAAGTCCATCAGAATTTTCCAAATACAACGTTAAGTCTACAGTTCTTTCACTACAATAAGTTGTTTAAATTAATAAATAATAATAAAACAACTTGAATACTTACCAGTTATTAACTAATTTACATTTAAAAGTAAATAATTTTTCCAGAACCACAAAGTTTGGTAATTCAGTGACAGATAGCCGAATATCTCCATAATCAGGTCCCTAAAAAAAAGGGGGTAGTTGTTGTCTCCAAAATGTGCAACTTACATGAATTTAGTGACTGATTAGACAAAAAAATTATTCAAAAAGTGATTTCACTATTAACTGCCTAATTTTGGTTAATGTATTTGAAGAATTTTGAATCTGCATGCCACAAGAAAATTATTATTAGTAAAATGCGTAAATAATTTTATACCATGCGTTGCAGCTGACTTGTCTGCAGTCTCCCTCTTTCCCCCAAGTTTGACCTCCACACAATGTCTAGTTTCCCAATGTTGGTGGCGCCACTTAAACTCTTTAAATCAGATGACAGTTTGTCATTGGGTGATAAGCAGTACAAAAACTGGCAAATAGACTGTGGACTTAAAAGAGTTGTTTTTCCAAATATGCTATCACCTGTTGGGGCTACATTGAGAGATGTAACTGAAATGAACGTGTTTTTTAATAATTAAAAAAATTACTAGTTAGACACCTTTAAATAAATGAGACGCATCTAATGCCACTTTTTCCAAACAAATAGGTCCTGCTGTTATATTTTGTACCTGCGCTTCCAAATACACATCATCATTTTCCGCGTTATAAAACTTTGTTTTCACGTCAAGTGGTTTCAAAACTTGTATTTTGAAAAACTTCCTGAATGATTTTAACATTCCAGCAGCATTTTGGTATGAAACCTCACAAACAAGTCTAAAAATCAAACAACGGTAATTTGACAATGTAAAATTGGATTTTTTGTTTACATGTGATTTCCAATTTCTTTCACTTCGTGGTGGATGACAATATTGACTGTTTCTTCAGGTGTAAGCTGGGGCGTTGGTGGATTAATAGATAGTGGTAGTCGCTGTGAACTAGTCTGTAAGTCAACTTTCACAGTCACATTGCTAACAGTCTGTTGAGTTTCACTGTAAACGCAAATGTAGCTAGAGAAGGTTTCTCCTAAGTAAATGTTAACAGGGCTTTGAGGTAGAAGCAAAAATTGGCCTGTGCAGAGTGTTTCAGTTCCTTTGACAGCAGTAGGGTCTTGCTGGAGTGCAAGGTTTAATAAGTTTCCTGGTAGGTCTTTGCTGTCACAAGTTACAGGCAGGGGACAGGCCAATGTAGGTCGAGTCAGACGCATTACTAAAAAAGAGTTACTACGTTTTTGAATTTATAAATAAGAATTTTACCTTTCAATGCTAATAAATGCTCCTCTGGTTCCATTATAGATCAATTGAGTTATAACTTTTTACTTATAAGTTCAATGTTTTCTCTTTAAGGTTACAACACAAAACGACGTTGCTACGTTTTTTAAACTATTGTTAACAACTGGAAAAGGATAAAATCGGTCCTGGTTTTTTGATATAGGTTAGACTGCGATTGTCAGTTGTTAATATTGACTGTCAATTGTGACAGTGATAAAACAATCTACACCAGGTTTTGTAGTTTCCTTTCTCGATTTGTATTAGTAGTTCAAGTCAACCAGTAATCAACAACATTGATTGGCTGCCTAACGAACAGTGGCGGCTCGTCGGCGTGGTTTATTGTTTGGGGGTGCAAAGTAAAATATTGTTTTTTTCTTAATTTTGTTGATTTTCTGCATTACACCCCGCTGTTTTCGCAACTGAGAAATTGCAGTTGCGAAAAAGTATGTCAGATCTCCTTTTCGTTCTTTTCATCCTTTTTATCCTTCTTATCCCTTTTCGTCCTTTTCCTTCTTTTCGTTTTTTGGTCCTTTCTATCCTTTTTGTCCTTTTTATCCTGTTTATCCTTTTTGTCATTGTTATCCTTTTTAACCTTTTCGTCCTTTTTACCTTTTTTATCCCTTTCCGTCCTCTTCGTCCTTTTTATCCTTTTCGTCGTTTTCGTCCTTTGCATCCTTTTCGTCCTTTTTATCTTTTTTATCACTTTTCGTCGTTCTCGTCCTTTTCATCATTTTCGTCCTTGTTATCCCTTTATCTTTTTTATTATTTTTACCCTTTTTGACCTTTTTGTGTCTTTTTTGTGTCCTTTTTATCCTTTTTAACCTTTTCGTCTTTTTCGTCTTTTTCGTCTTTTTCGTCTTTTTACCCTTTCTATCCATTTCGTCCTTTTCGTACTTTTCGTCCTTTTCATACTTTTAGCCCTTTTTGTCCTTGTCGTCCTTGTTATCCTTTTTAACTTTTTTATCCCTTTTCGTCTTTTTCGTCATTTCGTTCTTTTCGTGCTTTTTATCCTTTTATCCTTTTTATTCTTTTTACCCTTTTTGTCCTTTTTGTCTTTTTTGTCCTTTTTGTCCTTTTTATTCTTTTTATCCTTTTTAACCTTTTCGTACCTTTTGTACGTCTTATCCTTTTTGTCTTTTTTATTCTTTTTATCCTTTGTATCCTTTTGTCCTTTTTCTGTCCTTTTTGTCATTTTTATCCTTTTTAACCTTTTCGTCCTTGTTATACTTTTTATCTTTTTTATCCTTTTTCGTCCTTTTCGATATTTCGTCCTTTTCGTCTTTTTTATCTTTCTATCCTTTTTATTATTTTTACCCTTTTTGTCCTTTTTGTCTTTTTTGTCCTTTTTGTCGTTTTTGTCCTTTTTATTCTTTTTATCCTTTTTAACCTTTTCGTCCCTTTCGTACCTTTTGTACGTCTTGTCCTTTTTGTCTTTTTTGTTCTTTTTATCCTTTGTATCCTTTTGTCATTTTTCTGTCCTTTTTGTTATTTTTATCCTTTTTAACCTTCTCGTCCTTGTTATCCTTTTTATCTTTTTTATCCCTTTTCGTTCTTTTCGATATTTCGTTCTTTTCGTCTTTTTTACCCTTTTATCCTTTTTATTTTTGTCCTTTTTGTCTTTTTTGTCCTTTTTGTGTCCTTTTTGTCCTTTTTCTGTCCTCTTTGTCTTTTTGGTCCTTTTTGCCATTTTTATCCTTTTTAACCTTTTCATCCTTGTTATCCTGTTTATCTTTTTTATCCCTTTTCGTTTCGTCCATTTCGTCCTTTTTATCCATTTCATCTTTTTTATCCATTTCCGTTCTTGTCGTCCTTTATATCCATTGTATCTTTTTTATCTCTTTCCGTCCTTTTCGTCCTTTTTATCCTTTTTATCTTTTTATCCCTTTTCATCTTTTTCTTCATTTCGTCCTTTTTATCCTTTTATCCTTTTTATTCTTCCTACCCTTTTTGTCTTTTTTGTCCTTTTTGTCCTTTTTGTGTCCTTTTTGTCCTTTTTATCCGTTTTAACCTTTTCGTCCTTTTTACCCTTTCTATCCTGTTCGTCCTTTTCGTACCTTTAGTCCTTTGGTCCTTTTTGTTCTTTTAGTCCTTTTTGTCCTTTTTATCCTCTTTGTCCTTTTTGTCCTTTTTCTGTCTTCTTTGTCCTTTTCGTCTTTCGTCATTTCGTTCTCGTCCTTTTTATCCTTTTGTCCTTTTTATTCTTTTTACTCTTTTTGTCTTTTTTGTCCTTTTCGTACTTTTTGTCCTTCTTGACCTTTTTGTCATTTTTATCCTTTTTATCTTTTTTATCACTTTTCGTCCTTTTTATCCATTTTATCTTTTTTATCCTTTTTCGTCTTTTTTATCCTTTTCGTCTTTTCCGTCCTTTTCGTCCTTTTCATCCTTTTCGTCCATTTCGTCCTTTTTATCTTTTTATCCCTTTTCATCTTTTACTTCATTTCGCCCTTTTTACCCTTTTATCCTTTTTATTCTTCCTACCCTTTTTGTCCTTTTTGTCTTTTTTGTCCTTTTTGTGTCCTTTTTATCCGTTTTAACCTTTTCGTCTTTTTTACCCTTTCTATCCTGTTCGTCCTTTTCGTACCTTTGGTTTTTTGGTCTTTTTTGTTCTTTTAGTCCTTTTTGTCCTTTTTATCCTCTTTGTCTTTTTTGTTCTTTTTCTGTCCTCTTTGCCCTTTTCGTCCTTGTTATCCTTTTTAATTTTTTATCCCTTTTTGTCCTTTTCGTCTTTTGTCATTTCGTCCTCGTCCTTTTTATCCTTTTGTCCTTTTTATTCTTTTTACCCTTTTTGTCTTTTTTGTCCTTTTCGTACTTTTTGTCCTTCTTGTCCTTCTTGTCCTTTTTGTCATTTTTATCCTTTTTAACCTTTTCGTCCTTGTTATCCTTTTTATCTTTTATCGAGGTCTAACGAAAATGGTGATACCGCAAAACGATGTGTTAGGTTGCTGTGCTTATCACTATCATTATTTTGTGTTTAATGTGATTATAATTTTCGAAATTGGTGTTAGGGCCACATTATTCGTCTCCCGAATGGGTTCAGAAGTTAATTGAGCTTCTTGTTCATCTTTTTAACGGTATTGTGTGCCTTTTGTTCCAGTAAATATTTTTGTTATTGTTTGAGGACTCACGAAGTTACCGCCGCGCGGCGCTCGGATTATTGAAATCTGTTCATCAGGTGGGTTCACTGTGTTTGTTTACTTTTCAGCTTTATTTTTATATTCTATTTTCTTTGTATATGAATTGCTAATACTTACCGTAATACTTTCTGTTGACACGTATACAGGATGTCGAATAGTAAAGACGCTTACATGGCCCTGCCTTGTAAGAAATGCAAAATTCTACCGAATTCAGGTTTAACTTGCCTGAAATGTAATTCTTTGAGCCACCCAAGTTGTATAAAACTTCTAAGAAATATAAAATACATAAGTGATAAAGAAATAATTTGTTGTGATCGATCTGAGGACCAGGATGAAGTAAGTCCCAGAGACATGTGGATCCGTACGTTTGTGATAGAGACAATTTCCCCATTGCTGGAAGAAATAAAGTTGTTGAGACAGGAAGTAATGAGTTTGAAGAAAAATAATGATACCGTTGATGCAGCTGTTGCTCCATTACGCTTAGAAATTAAAACTTTGTCAGATGAGGTGAAGTGCCTTCGCGATAGTAATCTGGATCTTGTGAAGCTTTTCTTCAATAGTCCAAACGCTAATAGTAATAGTAAAGTGTTTTCAAAGTCTTTTAAGTTATCATCTTCAGTTTCTAAGCAACCGAAACATGATAATATATATGATAAGCAGTTGATGAAAGGTCATCCCCCATCGGCAAATAAATCGGCCTTAGAATCTGATATAAACGTGTATAACAACATTGAGGATACTAATGTTGTGTCTGGGCATAGCAAATCGATCCCGGCAAATGTAGATGACAAAACAAATGATATAGTGTCTGTGCATAAAAAGCAGCTCCCTGCAAATGTAGTCGACAAAACAAATGATGATCAAGGACCGTGGTCAACTCAGCGCAGACGTAGATTTAAAAAAAGAGCTACTATAACAGGTACATCTACAGATGACAACAATAGTAGTTTTACTTCATCCTATGTAAAAAGAGCATGGTTTTATATAGGCAAGGTTGATAAAGATGCAGAAATTGATGCAATTAAGACATATATAGGAAAACGTTTAAAGAGTTCTGACGTAGAATTAATAATTGAGAAACTTCCAGCAAAAGGTAACTTCCAAGCTTTTAAATTAGGGGTGCCTTTTATTCACAAAGAGGTCCTTCAGGATTCAGAATTTTGGCCGAAAGGTATTATACTGAGGCGTTTTAATTTTCCTAAGACTAATTTTTTATGAATATCAAAAACCATTGTGTGAGTTTGGAAACAAATCTTAAAATAAATAGCTTTTCTTTATGCTATCAAAACGTACGTGGCCTGAATTGTAAAACACATCTACTACTAAAAAATTGTTCTGATCAGTCCTTTGATATGATTGCGCTTACAGAAACGTGGCTTAACGACTCGGTCTATGATTCGGAATTATTTACTTCGGAATTTAATGTAGTACGATGCGACCGGAAATTTGCAAGGGTAGGTCGAACTAAGGGTGGTGGAGTCTTGCTTGCTATCTCTAGTGCTGTCCACTTCTCTATAGTTGATACAATGTTTCTTACCGACCTCGTTCCAATTATTGATATTGTTTTATGCAGATGTATTCTTTCTAATATACGTTATCTTATTGCTGTTGTTTACATTCCACCTGATGTCAGCTGTCAAGATCTTGAAACTTTTCTCAATGCGTTGGAAGTTCTTTTAATAAATGAGAATGTTATACTTATTGGCGACTTCAATGTACCCCAATTTTCCAAACAGGGCGGTGCTTTCTGTCCTAAAAGTTCAGTCCTTACAGACTTCTGCTATGTTGTAAAACTCACTCAATGCAACTCGATTAGCAACTTTTATGGCAACATATTAGATTTACTGTTTGTCAATAACAGTGGTCAGTTCAACATTGATCATCTCATTCCAGCTCTGGTGCCGGAAGACAAGCATCATCCAGCTCTCTTTATAACTGTTACCATTCCGTTGACCACTAAGAATTCTTCATTTCCATCTTCTAATAACTGCCGATACAACTTTCGTAGAGCTAATTTTTGTAGACTTTATGAAGATCTTTGTGATATTAACTGGTCATTTCTTGATTCA